ATGTGTATTCTATACCGAGCTGGATTGATTGGCTCCGTACTGCTATTATGAGAGATGTGCCATTCGGTTGTTGTTGAGCTTATTCGTGTTCTAAGATGATATGTGAGTTACTCTTCTATGCTACGAGGAGTTGTGATTCGTTGGTTATATGCACATATGGTGCGGTTCTATTGGGGCCTTATAGCGGAATTTGAGCGAGAAGAGTATTGGGTATTGCTTGGTTGATGGGGTATTGGTTATATTCTTTCGGGTTTTGTGTGACATTGTGTCATTTGCTTCTCTGTGGTTATGGTAATACACTTTAAGTACTTGATGTCGAATTGCGCGTGGTTATTGATTTTTATCAGGGTGGCTTGAGGTATTTCATATGGACCAGTATTTGGATAGGGTCGCGCATTGCATCGGAGTTATGTTGAGATATGATCCCTCGTGTTAGATTCGTGTGTTTTGATTATACAGTGTGTGATAGGTTCTTAGCATTGCGTTGTGGTACTTGTTGAGCTTGCGGGGCAGTTCTCCCATCTAAATCAATTTTTCATGATTTGAGTATATTTAGAAGATTGCTTATTGGTACACAGATTGCACGGGTTATGGCGTCAGATTGTATTGATGTGGCATGTCACTAGAGTGGTCGTGTTGGATGAGATGAGATCATTGGACCTAGGATAGATACTATCGGAATAGATTACAGCATAGTTGGAAGGATAATATCGGAAGTCGGCTTAGAAATTTGCTATAGTCTTGTCGAAGGAGATGGTGTATCATGACTTGTTGATCTGATGAATGGTTATGAGTTCTGCATGTTTCTTTTATCATTGGCAGTGTACGAAGGTTTTAGAATTGAGTCTTGTTTGATATAAGGTTATTATCAGCATTGGGTTATTTTGAGCAGCTACTGTGATTAGAAATCATTGCTTCGAGCATTTGAGCTATGTGGTATTTGAGTTTTGAGTATTTGAGTTATAGTTACGGCTTTTGGTACAGCTTGTCTAGACTTATATAGTGTGTAGATGCGAGATTCTGATCTTATAGAAATTTCGGGTGTTGGAAATTGGATTCTATGGTTTATGGGCTAGGTTGAATTAAGAAACTATAGTTATGCTGTGTTGTCGGGCCTATATGGGATAGGGTGACGTGATATCACCCCCGGGTATGTGCACGGGAAGGTTACACGGCGAGTTGATGGCTTTTGGAACAACTCTTGGCACGTTCGAGGACGAACATATGTTTAAGTGGGGGAGGATGTAACGACCCGACCTGTCATTTTGAGCATTTACACTTCGCTCGGTTGTTTTAGGGCACGAGTAGCTTCGTATGATGTATTATGACTTATGTGAATCATCGGTTTTGGTTTTCAGGTTATTCGGAATTGATTTGAAAGAATGATTCTCAACTAGAAGCTTTAAATTTGAAAGGGTTGACCAAGTTTGACTTTTTAGCATTTAACCTTGGATTGGAATTTTGATGGTTCCATTAGCTCCGTTGGGTGATTTTGGACTTAGGAGCATGTCCGGATTGTGATTGGAGGTCCGTGGTTGAATTTGGCTCGAAATGGCGAAAGTTAAAATTTTAGAAAGGTTGACTGGGAGTGGACTTTTTGATATAAGGGTCAGATTCCGATTCCGAAAGTTGGAGCAGGTCCGTAATGTCAAATGTGACTTGTGTGCAAAATTTGTGATCAATTAGACGTAATTTGATATGTTTCGGCATCGGTTGTGAAAGTTTGAAGTTTCAAAGTTCACTGAATTCGAATTGAGGTGTGATTCGTTGTTCTGATGTTGTTATGTGTGTTTTGAGGCCTCGAGTAGTCCGTGTTATGTTATGGGACTTGTTGGCATATTTGGACGGGGTCCCGAGGGGCTCGGGCATGTTTCAGATTGATTTCAGATCATTTTTCTTTATTTTGGTACTGCTGTGTTCTGCTGTCTTTCTGGTGTCTCGGTTCTTCATCGCGTTCGCGTGGCTAGTGTCGCGACCGCGTAGTGTATTTTGATGGCAACAACAAATTATTCTTCGTGATCGCGAAGTATGTCCCGCGTTCGCGTAGAGTAGGGGCCAGTCCTTTTCGCGTTCGCGTATGGAGGATCGCGTTCGCGAAGTGTTGAGGTTGGTAGCTGGGAATTTGAGTGTTCTTCTATGCGATCGCGTAAGGTCAGTTACGTTCGCGTAGCTTTGGTAGCAGTGTTCATTGTGTTCGCGTGGGTTGTATCACCAACGCGTAGAGTCTTTTGTGGCGGTGTGAGTTTTATTCATCACGAACGCGATGGTTTTCCCGCGTTCGCGAAATAGGAGGCCTGGGCAGATTATAAAGTACTATATTTCGAGGGTTTCAACCATTTTTATATTTTTGGAGCTATGAAGCTCGAATTGAGGCGATTCTTGAAGCAATTTTCACCATATGAATTGGGGTAAGTGTTCTTTACTCGGTTTTAATTATATTTCATGAATCTATCTTCGATTTTAGCTTTTGGTTGATGCATTTTAAAGAGGAAATTGGGGGCTTTGGCCTAAAGTTTCATAATATGAATTTTGAGTTTTGAACATCGAATTCGGGTCAGATTTGAGTGAAACTAGTATGGTTAGATTCGTAATTTTCGGGTTCTGAGGTGCGGGCCCGGGTTGGGCTTTTGGCCGGTTTTGGACTTTTGATTCAAGATTTGATCTTTTCGATCGGGATTGGTTCCTTTAGCATTGTTTGATGTATTTGAGTTGTTTTTGGTTAGTTTTGAGCCGTTCGGAGGTCGAAACGCGTGCGAGGTGGCATTTTAGAGCATCGCTTGACTTGCTCGGTGTTGAAATTTAGCTTGTTCGAGGTAAGTAACTCTTCTAATCTTGGAGCTGAGGGTATGAAACCCCGAAATACGTGTTATGTGATTTGTGTTGAGGTGAAGCATATGCTAGGTGACGGGCGTGTGGGCGTGCACCATGTGAATTGGGACTCTGTTGTTTCCATGGCACTGAATAGTGGCCCTATTTTGTTGATATCTGTGCTTTCACCATGTGATAAAGTAATTGAGTTGTCAATCATACTAGATATCATGTTTAGGCTTTATGCCGATATTGTTTGGACCCATAGTGGTCGTTTCTTACTGTCATCTCACTGATTTTATTGATATTTCGTACTCAGTCATATTCATGCATCCATACCATATCTCAGTCTCAGATATTATTTATTGATACATCATATCATTATTGTCGGGCTAGTTTCATGACACTGTGAGCCCGTGAGTGAGACTGGAGAGATTGATGACTGAGTGAGGCCTAGGGTTTGAGTGAGAGTGATATTTTGGGATCGGGCTGCATGCCGCAGCATATGATATTGATTATATTTTTATGGATCGGGTTGCACGCCGCAACAAGCCTTCAGGCTATATATATATATATATTATTGGATCGTGTTGCACGCCACATCAATATTGGATCGGGCTGCACGCCGCAACAATATAGCGCTTGGGCTAAAGGAGCCCCTCCGGAGTATGTACACCCACAGTGAGCGCAGTCGACTATATATATATGTGGATCGGGCTGCACAGCGCAGCGGGTATTGTACAGCGCTGAGCGATTGAGTGTGCTGAGCATTGAGCATAGTGAGAGAGGATGCGAGACAATGAGATTAAGTACTCTGAGAGTGTGAGTACATGAGTTCATCATTGAGATGCATTGCATTTGACATGCGTATTTGAGATTCATGTATAGAGATGCATTTCCTTCTGCTACCCGATTTTGGGGACATTTATGATTTTACCGGTATCTTGACATGTAGGCATAGAGAAGTACTTTCCTCATGCTATCTACAAATGAAATATCTTACTATTTGTTGAAAGGAGTTTTGGGAGAAAAATCATAATTTTTTTCAAACTTACTTGTATTTTGGCTTTTTCGGTAAAAGATTTGGATTTTTACCGAGATACTTGAAAAGAAATGCCTATTTTTCTGAAACTGTGAACGGACTGAGCCTTTTATTTCTGGTATACTCTTTTGTTACATGTTCTATGCTGTTATGAACTCTTGTGGAATACTGGTATTGGCCCCGACTTTTCTGTTAGCTCGTCACTACTTTCAACCTAAGGTTAGGTTTGTTACTTATTGAGTACATGAGGTCAGTTGTACTCATACTACACTTCTGCACCTTGCGTGCAGATGTTGGTTGTTGATGTTGTTGTGTTCGATGGGAGCTGGTTTGAAGATGTACCTGCGTTCCGGTTGTAGCTGCCCCTTGTTCGTGGTAGCTTTAGGTCTATTAAGCTCTGTTTATGTACTTTTCAAACAAGACTATGTATTTAATTCATTTCAGCTTTGTAAACTCTATTCTTAGAAGCTCATGATTTGTACTACCAGTTCTTGGGGAAATGTATTAGATTCAGATATTTCTTTACTTAATTGCTTTATTAATTATTATTGGAATTGGTTAGTGGTTAATTGGCTTACCTAGCGAGTTGTGTTAGGTGTCATCACGACTAGTCGGATTTTGGGTCTTGACTCCTCTCTTTCCTACCAAAATACTCGTTGAATAATGAAGCAGGAGTTGCTGAATAGATTTTGACATCATCAGTGTTGGCATAGATAAAAATTCTCTACTTTAGGAACAAATTTAAGACAAAGAAGGGGACCAACTTATTGGTTGATTGTACGCTACAGGCCGATGATTTTGCCGAGGTGAATGACTGGTGGCAGACATAGTGAGGGAGGAAGAGAAGAGAAGAAGCATGGCGGGAGGGAGGGGGCGCACTTTGGACGGTTGTTAGATTGAGGGGGAGAGAAAGGGGGATTTAATTCTATATTAATGGGATTTTAACTATTTGATTAATTGAAATCAAATATAGACATTTATTAGAATAGGCTATAAATGTAAAAAAAAACCTGCTAGTTTTAAAATAAATTGAAAATCGTGTTATTTATGCTAATAGTTACTTTAAAAAGACCTACAATGTAAAAAACCTCCCAAGCGGGGCTTGATAGTATCTTGATAGCCCAAACACAGGCCCAATAAAAGTTGTTGTGGTTTTCTCAATAATTTCTGGGTCCAATAAAACAAACCCGAGGCTTTCTACCCTTAAAGTGATAAAATCCGAAAACTGGAAAACTAATCAAACAATCAGGCATTGCTTGAATCTTTCTAGGGTTTGGTGTTCGATCCTCTCTGATTTCTCATAGGAATTTGCATCTACAGAACTAATCATGGCTACTGCTTCAGGTACGTCGTATTTTCTTTGTTGCGATGTGCTAATATTTGCTTGCAAGTACAAAATTTTAGGTCATAATTTCCTGAACTGTCTTAAAATTTAATTGTATTGGAATGATGCGGGTTCCAATAGAGCTGATGGATATAATGGATTTTTGAAGAAAGAACAAAACAAAGATATAGCGGACTTATATGTTTGGTATTTAGGGGTAGCTAACTTTTGCTGTTTTAAGTTTTTGTAGGTTTTAATTTCCTAATTTATCTTAAAATTTAATTAATATAGGAATAATGGGGGCCTAAAAAGAGTTGAATGGATATGGTGGATTTTTGGAGAAAGAAAAAAAAAGAATGAAGATATAGTGGATGTATATGTTTGGGATTGAGGCCAGAGGCATAGCCATGATTTGAAGCTTATAGGTTCGGGATTCAAGCCCTATTAAGTTATTGGGTCCGAAATTGATAATTTGTACTTATTAGATGGATTTCTTAAGACAAATACAAAGTTTGAATCATAGTTAGTGGTTCGGCCGAACATGTATTTTCAAGGCTAGCTCCGCCCCTGTTTGAGGCATAGTTATTGTTGTAGTTGTTGCTGTATTTTGCTAACATCCGAATTAATTTGTATTTAGTTGGAATAATAGATTTATTAGGGCTTCAGTTGCAATTGATGTTAAGGAGCTGTTTTGAGAAGTTTTGGGAAAAGTTTTTGAAACGATATTTTGGAGAAAAAGTTTATTCAAACTTCAAATGAAAAATGTGTTCAATAGCTTTTTTTGAAGATTTGTGAGTGTTTGTTAGTGGAAGAAGAGTTTTTCAATGAGAAATAGAGTTTCTGAAAAAGATGTCCTACAAACAAATTAACACATATTTTTCAGAATGTTTTTCTAGAACTTCAAAAGAAACTTTTCAGAAACAAACCCCACTTAAAGTTTGATACTTTAATTGGATCAAGTTCATGCTGCCTAAAGTTGTTTTCATAAAAGGGTGGTTGCTTCCTTATCAAAATCTTACATTTATCTGATGCAATTATGATTTTGTAAAAAATGCAGTGGCTTTCAAGTCTAGAGAGGACCATAGGAAACAGTTGGAATTGGAAGAGGCGCGAAAGGCTGGTCTTGCACCGGCAGAAGTGGATGAGGATGGAAAAGAAATCAATCCTCACATTCCTCAGTATATGTCTTCAGCTCCTTGGTATCTCAATGCAGAGAGACCGGTATGTGTTTTCTCATTGTTTATAGCTTTAGTCAGTGTAGCATTTCTTGATTGTCTAGGCACGTTTTTGACATTCACTTGTTGTGCCACTTGAAGAGTTTGAAACATCAAAGGAAATGGAAATCCGACCCCAATTACACGAAATCATGGTATGACAGAGGTGCGAAAATATATCAGGCAGAAAAGTATAGAAAGGGTGCATGCGAAAAGTAAGTAAACCATTCCCTTTCTTCTTGGACGTTCCAGATGTACCAAATGGAATTGCATTCTTTCTGCTGTCCTTCATTGATGTAGAAATCATATCTCTTGCCGATAAATGGTCAAAAAGAACTTCAATCAAAAGGGATTCCTCTGATCTGGAAATTTGAATCTTATTGTTTGGCACTATATGGCTAGCTAAACTTACTTCAGTTCTTGGTCTGTTCTTTTTACTTGGGAAAGCTTCTGTTTCCAATTCTATAAATAGAAAAGACACAATTTTTTTGGATTCCGGAAATGACCAATCTTTAGTAATCTTTTGTGATTGTTCATCAACATCGAAATAGTATTGCTCAATATGCTATGTTTTAACTGATTCCCTGAATATAATGTGCTTGGCACAGCTGTGGGGCAATGACCCACGATGCTAAGTCATGCATGGATAGGCCCCGCAAATTAGGAGCAAAATGGACTGGAAAGAATATTGCTCCTGATGAGAAGATAGAACAGTTTGAGCTGGATTATGATGGTAAAAGGGACCGTTGGAATGGTTATGATGCTGCTTCCTATGCCCATATCATTGAACGATATGAAGCAAGGGATGAAGCAAGAAAGAAATATCTGAAAGATCAACAACTAAAAAAGTTGGAGGAGAAAAATAACAAAGAGGATGAAGAAAGAGGCGATAGCGAAGATGAAGATTTTGAAGATGCTTTGAAGGTAGATGAAGCCAAGGTTGATGAAAGCAAGCAGATGGATTTTGCAAAAGTTGAGAAGCGTGTACGAACCACTGGTGGTGGAAGCACAGGGACTGTTAGGTCTGTCTTTCTTAATATCTTTTCATCTTTGATACCTTCCTGCCCATTTACTTTTGGGGTCCATGGGGTTTTATGGCTGGGCGGGGTAGCCATGTGGGGTTAACTGAATGGCTGACTTGTACTATGTAGAAAGCACATAGTACACATATAGGCCTGAGTGTTTCTTTATCAAGATACTGATGCATCTGCATTGTCCAGGAATCTACGTATCCGGGAAGATACAGCAAAATATCTTCTTAATCTTGATGTCAATTCTGCACATTATGATCCCAAGACCCGGTCCATGCGTGAAGACCCTCTTCCTGATATGGATCCAAATGAAAAATTTTATGCTGTAAGTGCACTTCTGGTCCTCCAAATAGTACTGATTTTCATGGTTATGTTTTTTTTACTCAGTCGTCCTTTTTTGTTTCCTCTTATAGGGAGATAACCAAAATAGAGTTAGTGGTCAAGCATTGGAGTTCAAACAGCTAAATATTCACGCTTGGGAAGCTTTTGATAAGGGTCATGATGTGCATATGCAAGCAGCTCCATCCCAAGCAGAACTGCTTTACAAAAATTACAAGGTTAACAAGGAGAAACTGAAGTCACAAACAAAGGAGGATATCATGGAAAAGTATGGTAATGCTGCTAGTGAAGAAATACTCCCAAGAGAACTACTGTTGGGTCAGAGTGAGAGAGAAGTTGAATATGATTGTGCTGGTAGGATTGTGAAGGGCCAGGTAATTCTTTCATCACAAGCTGCATATTAATGCATGAGTTACTTCGCAATTTTTGCCTCTCTACCTTCACTAGATAGGGGTAAGGTCTGCGTACACATTACCCACCCTAGACCCCACACGTGGAAATATACGGGGTATGTTGTTGTTGTTGTTGGGGATGAATTACATACCATAATGGTATATATTAAATAGTTATATTTATCTTAACCTTCTTCCATATGTAGACTAGCTAAGTAGAAGCTTGATGCACGAGTCATGCCCAATGCTTGAATGTGTACATTTATGTTTGCCATATGTGACAAGCCATGCACAATTATTTATACCATCTCGCCCCCTTAAAGATCAAGAATATAGTTACTTCAAGATATTGACATAGAATGATCAGATGCTTTTAGAGCCTTTCCAACTATGATGGGCTTTTATGGTATTTTCTGGTCATACCAGCTAAAGGTTAACATTTGAGCATGGCAAATCTTTTAATTTATGTTTTCCTATCTACTCGAAAAATTTGATTTCGACTCCAAAGTTACATGGATAACTGTCTTAGTTTATAGTTTACAATATTTAGTCAATACAGTTGAGCTGTATATTTTAATGCTCGTTATGGGCTCATGTATTGCAGCTAGAATAAGAGAGGAAGAGAGTCAAATAATTAAATAACGTTTCTCTTTGTCAGTCACCTGACAAAGATAGAAGCAGAATGTTCCGTGGTGTTTCTTTAAGCTGTACTTCACAGCTCATAACTGGCAAAGCTGTAATGAACAGCTTGTGTGCTGGTTGGATTGCATTCATTTGGGTTCATTCTCCTTCCTTCCATTGTTAATTTACTTCTGCAAGTGAAATAGGATTCAAGAAACTGTTTAATTTTCATTATCCTCTTGCTTTGGGGGTTTCTGGGAACCGCATCAGTATCCAATCTCTGCAGGGTTTAGGTTCCCTTCACCTTTAAGTTCCAGCAATATAATAACATTATCATTATTTCCTACTTCAAATATCGAGAACAGAATAATCGAAGTGATCATCCTCACCTTCCATCGTATCCAGCAATCCAGTCTTAATTGTACGGCCTTGTTTACCTCAATCAGAGGAATTTCTACATCTTTTTATGAAGAATGCAGCTATTTCCATTCTTATCCTACCCAAGTTCATCCAAACTGAAACAACTTGTTATATTAAGATCCTCCAGAAAACCAGAAATATTACTTATTGAACTCTTTTAAAAACTACTTATCTAAAACTGAACGTATACATATACCTCAAAGAACTATTATCTGCCTTTCTAATGTGGTATTCAAGACTATAGAGAGCTATCCTCTTTTAAATTAACATCATTAGGGCAGCGGCAACTGAGGCAATTCTCAGATACTGTCTCCAATTCCTACTCTCTTTTGAGGAATGTCCACACCACTGAAGTTTTCAGACTAGTCAGTGGGATGCGAAGAAACATTTACTCCATCTTCTGAGGAAATAGGGTGGAATTAGAAATATCATTTAAGAGTAGCCTGGCTGAATTAGAAATATCATTTAAGAGTGGATAATGTCTGTTTATTTGTTTGTTTTGGCATAGTTTTTGAGTAGCTTGGCTGAATTTGTGAGTTGCTTGTTGTAGGAGATGGCTCTCCCTAGGAGCAAATATGAAGAGGATGTTTACATCAATAACCACACCACGGTTTGGGGTTCATGGTGGAAGGATCACCAGTGGGGTTACAGGTGCTGCAAACAAACGATCAGAAACAGCTATTGCACAGGTGCTGCCGGAATTGAAGCAGCTGAAGCTTCTGCTGATCTTATGAAGGCCAATATTGCTCGCAAAGAGTCGGCTGAAGGTTAGTGTTGTCCATTGAAGGGTTTAAGTTGGAGTTAGAAATCCGACGTATTAGTGATATCTGCTTATTTTCTGATTGATACACTATTGATAAGTTCTGGGATTTCTTTTGGTCAAGATTCTGAGAATTTTATTGTTCACAACTGAAAATTAAGTACTAAATTGTTGAAGGAATTTGTCCTTTGATTAAATCAATTAGTTTAACTTTCTCTTCTAACAGTGCTATTATTATTTTTTGTTCTATCGTTGCTACTATAAATATAGTCACCAACTGTTTAATCTCCTCGATTTTCATGCTAAAAAAACTGAATGTATAATGGGATAGAGGAAGTAGTGGCTTTGTTTTTATACTGAAGGAAATAAAAAAGCTTTTTGATACTAATGTGAGTGAAATATATTCAAGATAAGGTCAGTGTATGTCTTAAGACTCTTTCTTTTTGCTCTTCCTTTTTGTATGTGTTTTAATCAATGGAAGAAAGTTGTCTCGAAAGACCTACAATTTCTTGGAATTAATGCAGACGAAAGGACACAATGGAAGAAAAAGATTTATATATGCTATACCCATTAGTTGGGAATATCTTTTGATCATGTTAATATGTTTTACTTTAGGTCCTATGCTTTCTTGGAGTCTTTTAGCACTATTAGAGATTCTTATGCCAGTAGGAAATATAGAGAACTTCTAGTACTTTTTATTTTTATGATTGCATTAGGGTAGGCTGTCTTAATCACCCCCTTGGGGTGCGGCCCTTCCCCGGACCTTGCGTGAACGTGTTATGCCTTGTGCGGGCTTCCCTTTTTTTATTTTTTATGATGTTGGGTTGAGATGAATTTAACTGGGAAACATTGTTAGTGAGATCCACATAGCCAACCCTCACTTGTTTGGGATTGAGACGTTGTATTATATGTGTTTGAAATATATGCTCAGGATTAGATGTTAAGACTATAATTACAGAGCAGTTGTATTTCGTACTTCCTCTAGATTGCTGGCATTTCCTCTTTTTTATTTTCCTCTCCTTGAACTTTGGTCAAGAACTTGGTTATACCTGAATTAGCAACCTTGTACAGTTTTTCTTGGGTCAATGTAACAGTAGACCTTGACATAAGTCGAAGGAGTTATTTTTCTTCCCTTTGTTCAACCATCTTCTTTATTCGGTATGTGATATATTTACAAGCTACTGGGAGTGAATTGTGTGTATGACGACACAATTGTCTGTGAACTGTCTGATTTCCACGTCTTAGTTTTTCTAAGATTCAAATCTGTAAGCCAGTATATTTTCCCACTGGCATGAACCCCATGTTTGCAAATGGGATCTTTTTTAGCCTGTTACTTTGTATGGATACTTCTGCACAGTGTAGCTATCTGTCTTAATTTTAATATTTATCATCTTGTCATCAATATGTGATTAATCTAGATACACATGCGCCGGTTGAGGAGAGGAGGCTTGCTACTTGGGGTACTGAAGTACCTGACGATTTGGTTTTGGACGAGCAAAAGCTGGCTGAAGCACTTAAAAAGGTATCCCCTTTAGCCTGTTCTGTGTACCTTCGATGCCACTCTTGCACTGTCATTATGATGAATTCATTCATTTGGCTCTTTTATTTTTGGAAACAAAATGTAATTTGCTGTGTTTGGGGGCGGGTCAATAGTTCACGTGCGCAAAGAATGATATCAGG